CCCCCTCCCGTCCCTCCTCCTCCTCCTCCTCCTCCTTCTTCTTCTTGTTCTTCTTCTGGTCAAAGAGTATAACCTTTTCTTTCTAAAATAAATAAGTCCTGGGGATGTAAGGTACAGCATGGTGGCAATAGTTAATAATGCTGTATTGTGTATTTGAAAGATGTTAAGAGAGTAGACCTTAAAAGTTCTCATCACAAGAAAAAAATTAGAGAGTTCTTCTCAATATAAAATCAAAACCCCTCCAGTTTCAGGTCAAACTTTGTAGGACTACGATAGCAGAAGTGAGTAAATTAGACTTCAGAGATTTTATTGTTGCTCTAAAGTTTGAACCACCACGGCCTTCTGGCTGCTGTTTACAACTAGAGGCACACCAAAGGACAGAGATACCGGCAATTCAGAAGACCCATGCGAGCACTGAGATTGGACCAGAGCCCGCCTCTCACAGACACGATTGCCCCTCATCTGGTCTTTCGCAGGGCTTGAGGCTCAGATAGACTCAAAGAAGTTCCTGCAAGAAAGAGTCCTAAAGCTTGAAATCAAATGGCTAAGGGATCTTGGGAAGTCTTTTTCTTTGCAGGTCTTTTAGAGGACGTTTCTAGATATAGCGTTTCTTAGAGGCAGGGAGTGGACCAGCTGGCTGCTCCCTCTCAACCCTGGGATTCCAAGGGAACAGGAGGAGTTTTCTCCTTTTAAGGGGTTTCCTCTTTCATCTGGAGGTGGTTGGTGAGAGAATCAGGTGTTGCCAGGGCACAGCAGTGGGTGGGTGAGGCTGCCCCACCCGCTGAATCAAGGGAGGCTTCCAGGAGGGGAATGGCTTGGAGATGCCTCATGAAACAAGCCTGGGAGGAGGCTTGGGGTTGGCTGATAGGTGGGTATGGAAGGAAGGGACTTGGTGGGGGCTGGCCGGAAGGGCAGGCCTAGTCTGAAGAGGCAGGATTCTCCCCAGCTTCACGGGAGTCCTTCTCTGGAAGCCATACCTGTCAGCTCTTCTTACCTCCTAAACCTTGCAAGGGATGGGGTAGGGGATGGCAGCCAGTGACATTCCACCATCACTTGGTATAGGGAGAAATGTTGCAGCAGGAAGGCTTTAAGCTAGACCAGAGGGGGAACTGGATAAAGATGGGAGATGAGTGACTGAGGGGCTCCAGGGGCTCCTTTCTTTCAAGGCCTTTAAAAACAAAGGTTTCTTCTGCTCCCAGCACCGCCTCACCTCCAAGCCGCAGTGATGGCTATGACAGCCTTCGGGGGCTTTTTGCCAGTTTGCACGTAACACGTAGGTTCTGTGAGCCATCAGGAAATACCCTTTCATGGAAACTATGCAACTAGATTTGGGATTGAAGAGCAGGCAGACCCCCGCAGCTAGTGTAGAGTGTAGTTTTTGGGGGCACAATGGCAGAACTGGAGTGACGGCTTCGGCGGAGCTCTGGGAGCAATCATTCACCCATGGTTGGTCCACAGTGTCCACACCAGACCTCAGTACTCCAGAGGGTAGAAATCCTTGCCTCTCTAGTTCAGCCCTGGGACTGGTGGGCATGGAGTCATGGGGTCCCTGGAAGCACAGTCATTTCTTTGGCTTCCTCCCTTTTTCAGCCCTTGGATTCTGGAGATTGCCAGGAGACTCTACGAGTCCACCGTGCCTTTGGAAGGAGCACCCACACCAAGGGAAGGAAGGGCCTGAGGCCCTTATCTGGGAGGGCCAAAACACCGGTAAACCAGCACTGACACAATTCAACTGAATAAATCTGCTGAGTCAAATCAAATGCTGCCTCTGTCTGGCCAGGGAGGATGCTTCTGTGCATGGGAAGTGAGCCATGCTCAGCCTGGTGGGAGGGACCAGCCTCTCTCAGCAAGGACTGAGCTCTCCCTCCCCGCACTGGGCAGCCCAAAACTCTCACATGGATTTCTCTCATTCACGGACATGCCAGATTCAAATGACTGACTCACTGGTTTGTTTTCCCACTGGACTGTGAGCTCCCTAGCCACGAGATCTGGGACTCATTTATGCCTGTGTGATCAGTCTCTTGTTTAGAGCCTGGCATATGGTAGGAGGCTGGAGAAATATCAGTGTGAATGAGTGAGTAATTAACCCCATCGGGTGGTCTGAGCTAAATACCTCTGAGTAGGACAGACAGGGATGTAACAGGGTTTCGGAGGAGGGAGCCATCACTGTGGGCCTGGGTCAGAGGGAAAGCCTCGTGGAAGAGATAAAGTATTGCCTTAAAATCACTTGAGCCCATTTTCCTCCCTCAGGACAATTGAGGGTTGAATTCTCCAGCATCCCTTTTTCTATCCTCCTTCCTACATTAATTCGTCTACCCCAGTCACCCGCTGACCCTCCGTGATGTGCCAGAGTGACTCACAGTGGCCTGGGGGAGCTGACTGTGTTCATCTCTTCCCAGCACACCTCACGCTGGTAGCTTGAAACTGGCCAGGGAGGGAGAAATTGGCAAACACTATAAACCAGTGCTAGAAGAGTTAGCTGCTAAACGTTTATCAGCACATTTGCCTACCTACTACCTATCCATCTACGACCTGTCCATCTCCTTCCTTCCTTTCTCTTCCTTCCTCTTCCCTCTCTCCTTCCCACGAATCTTCCTTCCTTCCCTTTTCCCTTCCTTTTTTTATCAATCCTTTTATCCAGTTCCCCACCTACCTACTCATCTGTCCATCCTCCATCCTGCCACCATCCATCCATCCATCCATCCACCACCCATCCATCAATCCATCATCCATCCATCCATCCACCATCCATCCATCCACCACCCATCCATCAATCCATCATCCATCCATCCATCCATCCATCCACCCACAAATGCTTTCTGAGCATCTTCTCTGTGTCGGCCTATTCCCCAGGCTCAGAATCTTTCCCAGACTCCTGGCAGATAGGTGCATGAAGGACTAGTCCTTACGAGGACTAGCAGAGGTCTCCCAGTGCAGCACCCCAGGGTCAGCCGGCACTGATGTTGGATTCATAACCAGAACACTTTGGTTTTCCCCTTCTGCTGCTCTTTGCCCCTCATAGCCTGTTCTCACAGGGTCCAGGAGGCACTAGCAGGGGAAGGAGAGGCATGTCCCCATCTCTCACTCCCTCCACACCTCAGGCAAGAGCCCAGTGGAATTGGGCCTGACTTTGAGAAAGGGTTTCCTGCCCCCAAAGTCCCCACGAGCTCTTAGACAACTTACCAGTGAGTTCAAACAAGATGGGGCTCCCCTGGGGCCTGAGAACAGAGACATGAGGTGACAGGGAAGCCCCATCATGAAGCAGCACCCTCTGCCCCCAGCACCACCCCAGCCCTCCTCTTAAAGCTCTGGCTGCTCTGTGAACCACGCTTGTCTCTCGTTCCCAGGGGCTGTTATTGCAAAGGGTTTGCTATTCAGCCTGGTGAGCCAAAGGAGCTGTAGGGCTCCCAGAGCCCGACCTGGAGTCGAGGGGAAGGGAGGGGAACCCACTCCCCTGCACGCAGTCCAGAACCTGCCACCTCAGCCACGCCCATCTCCTGTGCTGCCCCATCCAGCCCAGCCTGGGAGAGGCACAGTCCTTTACTCTGTGCGGGGGTGTTGGCTTCCCTGGACCATGGCAGAGGGTCGTAGCCCAGAGGGGACCAGGTGGCATGTCCTGGCAGGAGTGGAGGGTCCCCAGAGTTCCTGCAGGGGGTCAGGGAGAGGAAGTGCCTACAGTTGTTTATCTCACTTCCTCCCCTGAGGTCTGTGTTTATGTGACAGTCGTACCCAAACGTCTCACTTCTGAGGGTATCAGTCCACACTTCACTGGCCTCTTTTTGGAGGGTATTGCCTATGGCCTGGAACAGAGAGGGCGGGCAGATTTTGTTCTGAGTCACACAGCATACCTACTGCGGAGACAGATGAGAGTGAAGTGTTTGGGCCCCGAGGATGCAGCCCCCTGTCCTGCCACTGCTTGCATTCCTGTCCCTCACTACTATTTCTCTGTCCTTTGGATCCAAGCAGGTTATTTCTACCTGCTCTGAGAGAAATAACATAAGGCTGTATGCATCTTGTTCGTGCTGCTGGGACAGACGTGACCTTCCGAAGCTGTCTTCCATTGCAATACTCAGGTGGCTGATGGGACCTTAGTATCTCAAAGGCCTTGGGTTCAAATCTCAGCTCCACCAGGACTCAGCTGACTTAGGCCAGCAAGTTACCTTCTTAGAGCCTCAGTTTTCTCATCTATTAAATGGGGATAATTGAACAGGTTGCTGTAAGGTTTAAGTGAGCTCATACAGGTAATGTACGTAACACAGTGCCTGGAAGTTGGCATGCAGGATTAAATGATCACTCCAAATCCTAAAATCCAAATCAAACTGAACCCATCATTCCCTTCAAGATGAGAAGCAACTCCATTGTCTCAGGGCGGCGGGGGATCTTCCTCTGAAACTTGGGCCCTCAAATGACAAGGTTATTTGGCTTGTGTGACCCAATTAATAGCCCTCTGTCCTGTGGGCCTCGCGGGCACCTTGCCTTCTGTCCTGGGGACTGCTCACCTCAGTGAAACCTGTGAGGACAGAGGCTCCCATTTCCTGATGAGAAGAAAGTGAGTCAGGAGGAAGCAGCCCAACTGGTTGCTGAGCCATGGAAAATAGTTAAACTGGGGGAAAGAAAAAACACTTGTTTAAAAAATCAGGCTAGGTATGAATGTGTAGGGTGTGGCCCCCTATGTAATTAGCTGCTCTGCCGGCTCTGGGAGCTGCCTGCCTCTCTGGGGCCGTTGAGTCAGGCTCGCCTGAGGCCCCTCCCCTCCACTCCTCCTCCCCTCTCCCCGTAGGTGTGTCTCGGGCTCTGCTGCTGCCTGTCCCACTCCTGCCGAGACGCCGCGCAAGAGGTCACCCACCGCACCTCCAGCGAGCCCGACACAGACCAGACAGGCGACCCACAATGGAAGCTGCAGATGCCTCCAGGAGAAGTGGGGCCAGCCTGGAAGCCAGGGGTGCCCGCAGCTTGCTGGGCCCCAAAGGCAGCCTGGAGAATGAGGCCAAGGGCGAAGGCAATGAGGCCAGGATCACCAACGGCCACGGCAGGGAAGCAGCCGAGGGCAAGAGCCTGGGTGGCTCCCTGAAGCCAGGCGAGGGAAAGGGCTCCCTGTTCTTGGGCAACAAGGGGCAGCGGCCCATCATCCAGTTTGTTGAGTCTGTGGATGACAAGGGCTCCAGCTATTTCAGCATAGAGTCTGGAGAAGGCAAGGTGTCCCCCTATGCCAGGCTCCAGCTGGGGGCCACCAAGAAGCCACCTGTCACCTTTGCTGAGAAGGGGGAGCTGCGCAGGTCCATCTCCTCGGAGCCCCGCAAGCCCACGGTGTCGGTCACGGAGCCTGGGGACCTCTGGCAGAACAGCTCCCCCCGGGCCGCCTCGAGCACCCTCCTGCGTTCCAGGTTGGGCTCCGACGAGGTCCTGTGCGACTCGTGCATTGGCAACAAGCAGAAGGCCGTCAAGTCCTGCCTGGTGTGCCAGGCCTCCTTCTGCGAGCTGCACCTCAAGCCCCACCTGGAGGGCGCCGCCTTCCGTGACCACCAGCTGCTCGAGCCCATCCGGGACTTCGAGGCCCGCAAGTGCCCCCTGCATGGCAAGACCATGGAACTCTTCTGCCAGACGGACCAGACCTGCATCTGCTACCTCTGCATGTTCCAGGAGCACAAGAACCACAGCACTGTGACCGTGGAAGAGGCCAAAGCCGAGAAGGAGGTAACAGCGGGGCCCTCCAGGTCTCTCCTCCCTCGGCGCCTCCTCCCACCTCATCTTCCCCGCTGGGGGTTCCCAGGGTCTGGGGCTCAAGTCTCTGCTGTCCCCTGTCCTTTCAGGAAACAGTTCTTTCCCCTTCGCGCCCCCAGGCTGGGAGTCAGAGACGGTTCCCCAATCCTCTAAGGCCTCAGGAGACCAGGCATCTCCTAGATGAGCAAATGGGGGCTCAGCAAAGATGCGGGGCTTGGCCAAGGTCATAGGATAAATTCAAGTCAGGTTAGGGAATCAGCACGCAGTCCTGGGCTCTGTGTCTAGATGGGTCTTTTCCTTCTTTCTTTCTTCCTCCCTTCCTTCCTTCCTTCCTTTCTTTTCTTTTCTTTCTTTCTTTTTTACTTAAGGGAGAGAGAATTCTTCCCACCTGAGCAGGGCTGGCTCCTGCGATGAGTCATGGGTGAGAAGAAGGGAATTTGAGGACCGCTTCAAGGCCCTTTTTTTTCTAGCTTCAGAGTTGGCTTTTGCAGTCCAGTGGCTCCTTCTTGTTCTATCTGATCCCCCAGCCAGTCTCTTGACTCTCCCAGTGGCCTCCTTTATCCTTCCCTCCGCTGGGCCCCGTGTGCTTCGTGTGTGTGGTTGTATGTGGACATACCTCTGCCTGTAGGTGGACACTCTTGGTGAGGGTTGGAGTGGGGGGGGAGGGCTGTGTTATATTCATATGTGGATGTTTGCATATGACTGTATATGTGATACGTTAAGTGTGTTTGTGTTCTGTGTACGTGATCCTGCATGTGCTCCTGTGGGGAGGAGCGGGGGCATGTGGAAGACTGTGAACGTGGACACCTTACACCTGGAGGGGGTGTGCTGGACCAAAGGCTCAGCTGTGGCTGCCGCTCCTGACTCCACAGATGCTGGGCTGGTGCCCCCGCGGCCACACAGCTCTGTGACATGGGCGGTCTCCAGCTGGTGGTCAAGGCAGGGCACCTGACTTTCCGCATCCCACAGAACGGGGCAGCACAGGACACCCTCTGGGCCCAGCCTTCCTAACTGGGAGTCTGTAGGTTACTCTCTCCTACCCACACCCCTGGGCAGGAAGGACGAGTCAGAGATGAGAAAAGACTCAAAGATCCTTTTCAGAAGCCTCATTTGGCCCAGGAAAAAGGTGATCCCAGTTTCCCTAACTCCCCGACCCCAGTCTGGCTTCATGCTTCAGATAGGGAGATGGAGATGGGGCAGGGGCCATGGTCCCCGCCTCCAGGACCTCACCTAGGAAATCAAAACAGAACGAGGGCCAATCATCCTCAGCCACCGCAACCAAGAAATTGCAGAGCCACAGGCTGTGTTTTAGGAGACCTGACTCTAGTCCTGGTTTTTGCCTCTAACCAGCTGTGAGATGGTGGACAAGTCCCTTCCATTCTCTCAGTCTTGGTTTCCCTTCATGTGAAACTAAGGGATTGGACTAGGTTGGAAGTTTTCAAATGACCCCTGGAGCCCTAGGATTCTTGGGAATGTCTTTGAGGCATCAGGGATGAGGTGGGGGGGTAATTGGTGCCAAGAAGTCAGGGGACCCCTGTTCCCACCCCCAGTGCAAGCAGCACATGCTCTTATTTATCTGTAGGTTTGGCCCCAAATTTCATCTGAAACAAGGGCATCTCCACTTAAGAAGAGCCTGAGTGTCCCTGGAGGACAGGACGGTCTTGGGCAGTTTCCTCTGGTGGCACCTGGGACTCGGACTTCATGTTCTAGTACTGGGACAGGACTCAAAGACACGGTTCTCACCCTTGATGGCTCATGATGTAGGTCAAGAGGCAGATCTCAGACGCACAAACCAGTCTGGGGCGCATCCCCCCAGTTACACAGCAGTGGCTGTAAGTAAACGTCAACTTGCAGAGAACAGAACGTCAGACTGGAGCGTTAACAATCTCGTCAGTCCACCTTGCGTGGGGACACAGGCCCAGAGAAAGGAAGAGGCCTGTCCAAGCTCAGTGTTTGAGGGAGAAGTTCCCTGAGTCCTCAGCCAATGTTGGGGAGCAACTTAGGGGAAGGGTTAGGGTTCCTTTGAGGGGGATGGGATTACAGGGGAAAATGTCTGATTCACTGGAGTGACTTTAGGGCTGGGAGCTTCAGACGGTGTGTGTGTGTGTGTGTGTGTGTGTGTGTGTGTGTGTGTGCGCGCGCGCGCGCGTGCACGCGTGCACGCATGCGTGTGTGTGCACCAGCAGTGTAGGTAGGCAGGGGCAGGTGGTGCCGAGCGGCTGAGTGGTGATGGAGCTGGAGTGGGGCACTTTGTCCCGATCTGGCTCAGCTGGAATGTCAGACGTGAGGGATGTTGGCACAGAGCAGTGTTAGATGGGTTGACAGATGAAAGTGGACTGGCGTGTCAATCCTGGCATCCTTTGGAGGCAGCCCCTGCAGACTCAAACATTAGGGCTCCACACAGCTTTTTGCAAGGAGCCCCGTCCAGAACCTGTTCTGTCGCCTGGTTGGTGAGGCCCAGGTGAGGTGATCGCTGACCTATCTTGGTTACTTGCACAAAAGTGTAGACAGCACCCAGGGCTGCGGTGCTCATCTCTTGGGCCTCAGATCTTGCTACAGACTCCGAGCAGAGGCAGTGCTGGAGAAAGGCCACTTGGTGTGCCAGCATGACAATCCTTCCTCTGCTGACCCAAGATCAGAAGGTTTCCAATTCCACTCCGAATGTCACAAGGAAGGTCCACAGATGTCCTGCGGTCCACCCCTCTGCCTCTGGGCATTTCCCAGGCTGGATTAGACTGATGAGATTGCAATGTACATATCCATCCTTTCCTGTGTCTCGTGGCCCTTCCTTCTGCCTATCCCGAGTGCCTTCTGCTGCATCAGGTCAGGGTGGAGGATTCCTGGCCACGGCTGCTTGCTGCAGGGCAGCCTGCCTGTCGTGGGTCCTCTGGGGCTCTGGGTTGGCAGCCTGGCAAGGCGCTGGGAGGAGTGCTCAGGCCAAGCATTGCTCTGGAGGGCGAGGTCCTAGCTCGTCAGCACGGCTCAGATTCCGTGCCTCGGTCGTTCTCCTGACGCCATCATTTGGCTCGGTTCCTCTCTGTCACCATGGCCTGTGGCTTTGCTTCTGGTCTCATTGCCCAATTCTTCCTTGAAGGCTGAACTGCCAGGCTGCTGGGCATGGGCAGTTGCTGCTCATTGAGTTTTGGGAGTTGTGCTGGTCTGGGCTTTTGGGGCTCTTTGAGTGGACAGCCATGACCGGGGTTTGGGAAGATGAGACAGGCGAAAGGTCTAGGGTGCAGTGGCAGGTGCTGGGACCATCCTCCCCAGAGATCCTGGGGGAAAACTTCTGCTCTGGGACAGGGTGGGTGAGAAAGGAGGTGGGATGAACTCTGTGGGTGCTGGGGAGGAAAGGACAAAATAAAAAGAGGTACAGAGACAGGAGGCAGGGAAGGAGAGTGCCAGGGAGGCAGGCAGGAGGCACCCCTGTCTTTATGGAGTACATCTATGTGCCAGGCGCTAGCCTGAGCCTTTACACGGTTACTCCTGACGACGGTCCCACGGGGTGGGAGTAACTGCATCTATTTTATAGGTGAAGAAATGGGCTCAAAGATGCCAAGAAACTTACCCAACATTACAGCACTGGGAGGTGGCAGAGCTGGGATTCAGATTCACTGTGGCCATAGCCCAGCCTGTTTTCTCTCCACCATTTTAAATGTTGTTTTTATAGGGTTGGCAGTGGCTCCTTGGAGTCACCTGGGAGGTTCTGATTCAGGGGGTCAGGGCCTGGGATCTGTACTTTTAAGTTACCCTCAGGGATTCGAATACGTAGTCAGGCTGGAAATCAGGAATCTAGTCCAGTTTTACCAGGAAGAAACCGAGGCCTGGGAGGTGAGGTAACATGTCAAGGGCCCGATGCTGGTCTGGAGACAGTCTGGATGATGCTCTTCCCAACCCGTCTCGCCCCTGCCCCGTCCTGACACCCAAGGAAGCAGAAGGAGCGGTGTGCCCCAACTAAGAAGGGTAATGCTGGGCTGTTTGACATCTGTGTGGAAATGGGGAAATCTCTCCAGCATTTCAGATTCTCTCTTTTTTTTTTTTTTTTTTTTTTTTTTTTTTTGCAGTACGTGGGCCTCTCACTGTTGTGGCCTCTCCCATTGCGGAGCACAGGCTCTGCACGCGCAGACTCAGCGGCCATGGCTCACGGGCCCAGCCGCTCCGCGGCATGTGGGATCTTCCCGGACCAGGGCACGAACCTGTGTC